CTCCCTCTCTCCTTCTTCTCCCTCTACTCTTCCTCTCTCCTTCTACTCTCCCTCTCTCCTCTTTCCTTCTCTCTCTCTCCTCCCTCTCTCCCTCTTCCCTCCTCTACTCTCCCCTCTGTGGCCTTAGCACCTGTGATGTTTCTCCTCCCTTTGAATTTAGAGGCGGGGCTCCCTCTTGAAGACAGGGTGATTATTTTCGTCTCGGTTCTCAATGCTGCATTATTTCTTTATTGTTCTCTCTCTTATTCCTTTTTCCCTTTTCCTTTTACGGTTCGCTGCTTTCTTTAGCTTTTCCTTTCTTTCGCCTCTCTTCTCGCTCTTTCTGACTTGCTTACTTTCTCCACTTCTCTCGCTCTCTCTGTCTCTGTCTGTCTCTCTCTTACCAACTATATCATATCTTGTATAATACATACACCTACATTCCCACATACACACACCGCATACCACATACATATACCATAAAATACAACCACATTCCCAAATACAGAAACCGTATACCACATACATATACCACCTACTTTCCCACACACACAAACCGCATACCACATACATATACCGCATAATACATACACCTACATTCCCACATACACAAACCGCATACCACATATATATACCGTATAACACATACACCTACATTCTACACAAACCGTATACCACATACATATACCGCATAATACAACCACATTCCCACATACACAAACCGCATACCACATATATATACCGTATAACACATACACCTACATTCCCACATACACGAACCGCATACCACATACGCATACCGTATAATACATACACCTACATTCCCACACACACAAACCGCATACCACATACATATAACATATAATATATACACCTACATTCCCGCATACACAAACCGTATACCACACACATATACCGCATACTACATACACCTACATTCCCACATACACAAACCGCATGCCACATATATATACCGTATAATGCATACACCTACATTCCCACATAAACAAACAGCATACCACATACATATACCGCATAATACATACACCTACATTCCCACATACACAAACCGCATACCACATACGCATACCGTATAATACATACACAAACCGCATACCACACACATATACCTCATAATACATACACCTCCATTCCCACACACACAAACCGCAAACCACACACAATCAGCCATGCACACGCGTTGCAATCACCTCTGCAACTGCTTCGTTAAAGTCCTTGCAACCTATTCACCGTGTTCGCCCATTCACTATTGTCACAAACCGTTATTTAAGGCATTCTGATGCGATAAAAGTTTATTTAGTAGACACCCCATCTTTTTCTACTTTTTTTTCTCTTAATATTGGTTCAATTATCCTTCACTGTTGATTTGTGAGGATAGGGAGAGAGAGAAAAAGGGGGAGAAGGATAGATAGATATAAAAAAGGGGAATAATGGATCGGATTTTCTGATGAATGGGGGGGGGGGGTATTTTCTTTTTTTCGGGGGTGGGGGTGGGTGGGGTGGGGGGTGTAGAAGGGGGTAATATGTGGTTATTTAATGGCAATAAAAAGGAGAAGGTTGTATATCAGGAACTGAAGTTGAAAGTGATATAACTATCTATCCCTCTTCTTTACGTGCACAGAAAAACCTACATTTAGAAATATATGAGAGAAACACACACGGAATGTACACGCAAATACAGACAAGACATACATAAATACAAACACAAACAAAAGTAAACACATAAATGCAGGCACAAACATAACCAAATATCGACACACCACACACGCATGCACACACAGTCACACACACACACACACACACACACACACACACACACACACACACACACACACACACAACACACACACACACACACACACACACGCACACCACACACACTGCACACACACACACAGCACACACCCGTAACCTTCCCATCTCCCCATTAGCCAAACACCGATGTCAGCAGATTCTCTCTCCCTCCCTCCCTCTCTTTCCTCCTCCCTCCCTCCTCCCTCCCCCTCCCTCCCTCCTTCCTTCCTTCCCTCCTTCCCTCCTCCCTCTCTCCTTCCCTCCCTCCGCCCTCTCCCTCTTTCTCCCTCCCTCTCCGCTCCTTCCCTCCCTCCTTCCCTCCCTCTCCCTCCTCCTTCCCTCCTTCCCGCCCTCTCCCTCTTTCTCTCTCTCTCTCCTTCTCCTCACCACCCCCTCCTCAATCTCTCTCTCTCTCATCTCTGCTCTCTCTCTCTCTCTCTCTCTCTCTCTCTCTCTCTCTCTCTCTCTCTCCTGTCTCTCTCTCTGCTCTCTCATCTTCTCTTTCTCGCTCTCTCTCTCTCTCGCCCCATCAAATAATTTTTGATTTCCACACGCTGTTTCCCCGCTGCTCCCCCCGCCGAGAATTACAGATCAAATTCCTTTCCTTTTGGGCGTGGTGAAGTGGGTGGGGGAGGGGGGCGGGGCGTGGGGTGGAGGGTGGGGGTGGGGGATGTGGGTGGAGGGGGGTATGGGGTCACTTTCCTGGATGGCTGGCTAGGCTGCTGAGTTTCCTGTCTGATTGGTGTTTGTTTGTTTGTTTGTCAGTATGTCTGGGTGTTTTGTTTGTTCTAACTCTCTCTCTCTCTCTCTTCTCTCTCTGCTTCTCTCCTTCTCCCTCTCTCTCTCTCCTCTTCTCTCTCTCTCTCTCTCTCATCTTCTCTCTCTCTCTCTCTCTCTCTCTCTCTCTCCTCTCTCTCTCTCTCTCTCTCTCTCTCTCTCTCTCCTTCCCTTCTCTTCTTTCTTCTGTCTATCTCTTCTTCTCTGTCTCTGTGGTCTGTCTGTCTATCTCTCTCTCTCTTCCTCCTCCTCTCCTTCTCTCCTCTCACTTCTTCCCTCGCTATCCTCTTCCCTCCCTCTCTTTCTAAATAATAATAATATCTGTAACAACAACACTTACAAATGTATTTATAGGACTATAATGATGATAACATTAGTATCAATAATAACATATTTTACATACCAATAATAACGAATACAACAGCAAAAAAAAACAAAAACAAAATACACACACCAATAACCAGAACTCTAGAGAAAAACTAATAATAATAATAATAATATAATAATAATAATAATAAATTTAATATAATAATAGAATAATAATAATAATAATAATAATAATAATAATAATAATATATAATTAATAATAATAATAATAATAATAATAATAATAATAATATAATAATAGATAATAATAATAATAATAATTAATATATAGTAATAAAACAATAATAATATAATAATAATAATAATAATAATAATAAATAATAATAATAAATAATAATAATAACAATATATAATAATAATAATAATAATAATAATAATAATTAATAATAATACAAAACAAACAATCAACCAACAATAATATAATAATAAACAAACAATAATAATTATTATAAATAATGAATAACATACGTAACAAACAACAACAACAAAACAACAATAATAATGATAATAATAATAATAAAAAATAATAACAACAAAACAACAAGCAACAACAAAATCACAACACCTTCGGTCTGTCAGCCTGTACTCACCGCCAATGTGTATGGAGAAGTTTGCCGAAGTCTCTCCAAGCGCCGAGATGGCCTTGCACGTGTAAAGTCCTGAGTCGGTGGACAGAGGCTGTTGAACGATCTCTGACCTTTTTCCGAGGTCGAGTCCGTCGACTGGAGAAGAGGCTGGAAAAAGGAGGTGAAATTTGCCAGTGAGTTCCTGGGGTTGAAGAGGTGAGGTTGGGGTTGGGGGTTTGGTTTGGGTTGGTGTGGGTTGTGGGTTTGTAGTTGTGGTTGGGGTTGTTAGTGTGGTTGTAGTTGTGGTGTAGGTATTGGTTGGGTTGTTAGTTGTGGTTGGGTCGTAGCGTGTGGTTGGGTTGTAGCTTGCGTGTGGTTGTAGATTGTTTGGTTGTTGAGTAATATTTGGTTGTGTGGTTTTAAGTTACGGTTTTTGTTATTTGGGTTTTATTTTTTTCTATTTTTCTTATTCTGTTACATAAAATAAAAAATAATTATGTGTGTGCTAATCAACATTATGATAATCAAGAAAACGTTCGATTAAGACACAATTATTTATCCTCTCATTTTCCTTACGTCTTCATATTCCTTCACTTTTCTATTATATATAATATATAATATATATATATATATATATATATATATATATATATATATATAATATATATATATATATATATTCTCCTTTTTCTCCATCTTTACTTTATTGTGCTATTACAAACGGACACGAAAAATGAATAAATTAACTAATAAAATATAAGTAATATATAGATAATTGATAAAACAACTAAATAAGTGGTAAATTAAATATAGATAATACGTAAATACGTATATGACTTGGCGGGAAATTAGACGTTGGTTCTTTTCTCCCGCCAAATCAACGTCATGATGACGCAGTTAGAGTGGCCGCCTCGAGGCATTACATGTGACTAATCGAAATAATGCACTCCTGAGAAAAAAATAAAGAAATAAAAAGAAAAAGCCGACTTTTTTTCTCTTCATAAACGCAATCATAGCCTTACTTTAACTGAAACTTTTATCGAATACGCCAAAAAAAAAAAAAAGGCGGGAAGGGAGGATGGGGAGGAGGGGGAAGGGGGGAGGTGGTGTGGGGATACGGACGCAATACCGATTCATTTGCCCGAAATAAATGTTAGGTTTCGCATGAAAAAAAAGAAAAAAAAAAACTTGGTCACCCTTAATCCACGGAGTTCTAATTACCATTTTTAGTCACTTTACGTTCCTTTTTTCCTCGTTTATATCCCCCTATTTCACCATTTCCAACATCCCCTCCTTACCCCCCCCCCCTTATTTCTTTTTTCTCTCTCTCTTATCTATTCCGATTATCCCTTTCCTTCCCATCCACCAATATCCTTCGCGTTTTATCTGATGGACGTAAATGGCCTGTCGGTAGGCTCGTATTATTGCTAAAGAAAACCTGTTTGATCATCCAACGCTCTTCATATTAATGCGGTA